TCCAGAAATGCCTCTCTAACACCTTTTCCCAGCACTAGGCTTTGAAGGAAAGCTGCACTCCCCTTACTCACCCTCTGATTAACGGTGTAGATGAAAAGTGGAAGGCTGTGCCCAAGGAGAGGGCAAACAAAGGAGTGGGAAAGTGGCCAGCATTCTGCACCTCTAAATCACATCGAGCATGCTGGAGATTAATCAGGCATCTTATGCTGGAGGGCTGATACAAAACAATTATGTTTTATGGGCTTGTGGCTCTCTAACCGGTGATTTTATCTCCAGCCAAAGGTGGATGCGATGCTGAGGCCAGGTGGGCCTGGCAGGTTGGTATGCGTTGTGGTTTGCATGCTCTGGTTTGGAGTGAGCCAGGCTTCGGTTTTGCTCAGACAGTTCTTTTCTTGCCCATTCTGCCCCAGTAACTTTTGGGTAATTACAGACTCGAGAAGGGCGTTCAGCCCGCTGGGGCTTTTGGATTTTACAAGTGTGAAATTGTTCACCCAAAGGCAAATAAAATGAGTTTAATAACAGCCAAAAATTAAAACAGAGAAGCAGCYGGTGACCTGCACTTCTTGTCCTGCTCACTGTGACCATGCTGTGCGTGCACACCCTGGACGGGTGCCTACGATGCCTTTAATGCTGACGCGCGCTATGCTGTTTGCGGAGGTTAGTGGCTGCATTAACTCTTTAGGGTGGAAGTGTGCCCCGAGCTCTGCAAARCTGCTTCGTCCAAGGAGATGTGGATGTAACACGCTGTTCGTTTTGATATCTTGAGCTGAAATGACAGATCCTAACCCCAGATCAAGGTAGGCGTCCTGCACGTGTGACTGAGGAGTGCGTTTTGGAGGGCTCACAGGGACCCCGATCCCTGCTCCTGGAATTTGGGTGGGAATTTGGGTGGAATTTGGGTGGGAGCCAGAGGGGCTCCTTGTTGGCTTCTCCTTTTTCCACATGCTGATGTCTCAGCCGTGCAGACCCGTTAACCAGAGCGCGGCTCCCGCTTCGGCGTGTGCCCTTTGCTGCTCTGCCGCGGCGCCGCCTCCCTGCCTGCGTGCAGGAGCAGCAGCTCGTGCCAGGGCTGCGTCAGCGCCGCGGGGAGCTCCGCGTGCGTGGGCGCGCTCGTGCTCACGTTGCAGTGCATTGTGTTGCATTGCTTGCATTGCAGTGCGTTGCATTGCGTTGCGTTGCTCACGTTGCATTGCTTGCGTTGCTTGCATTGCGTACAGATTCTTCTCCACAGCTTCCAACCAAAACGGGACTAAACCTCGTGTGGTCTGAGAGCATCCCCGTGCCACGAGGGTCTAGCTGCCCTCTCCAGAGGTTTGTGGCTCRGTTACAAGTGCAGCTGGCTGGCTCTGCTCAGCCTCTATTCAGCCTCTCTTGTAAGACAGGACCTGTTTTGCTCATTGCAGTCAGAATGTCTATGGACAAGGATTGAACGTGGGCAGAGAAGCCAGGATCAATCAAGCTTAGGGGAAGTGGCAGGCAACCCACTGGGTGGTTGGTTTAGGGTTAGCACCGTGCTGTTAATCTGCCTTAATAAGAACAGACGGGGGCACGTAGGAAGCAGCCTTTGCTTCCTGTGCCAGGGTCAAAGGGACTGTGTCCGTCCTGGGTGCCCAGGTCTTTTCTCTGGAAGTCTTTTCCCACCCCTAGGCTCCTTGCAGGCTTTGAGCTCCCAGGTGAAGGTAATAATGTGTTAGTSGGGAGTGAATCTGGCAGCCCAGGCCCTTGGCTTCAGCACAGCACTGATAACAGCTCGCGGTGAATGGTATCTCCAAAGCTTTCCAGCAGTGGCAGGAAAGAGGCATTTTTACGTGAAGCAGGAAGAAATAGTTGGAAGGCAGGGAAATGTCATGACTTGTCCACAGCCAGTAGTGAGAACCAGGAGTGTAACAGGGGAGCTCTGGCTGCTTGCTGGGTGCTCTGTGCCGGGCTAGGGTTGCTGGTGCTTCTAAGGGCTTCTAAGCAGAAACCCCTAAACTCTTCTGCTGGGRAACCGGGTTTAAGAGCTGCTGTTGAAACCTGCAAAGCGCAAGGCTGGGCACATGGAATTAGCACARCGATGATGCCAATGGAGCCAACTGTCCATGGGCACCCAGGGAATGTTTGCAGGGGAGCTGTGAGTTGCTGTCCCAAGTCCTGGCCCTCAGTGTCCAGCTTTATGACTCAGTCAGTTGAACTCCCATTGCTTTTCTTGGGAAATATCTTTAACAGCTGAGTGGATCTTCTCATTTGGGAGAAGTTTGGGGGGTTCAYGCATACAACGCCTTTCTCCGGCTCAGTTTAGTCCATGAGCGAAACACTTCGCGCGGCCTCCTGCCTCTTGCCGAGTTCTCTGGATGGCTGCGTTCCCTCTCCTCACTGTTTAGGCAGGCTAAAACTATGTAATTATGATTAACCACTTACTGCAATAGAAGATTGCCGTGCTATTAAACCGGAACGGACACGACTGGGGAGCAAACGAGCCCTTCCAAAGAAAGGGCCTGGACATGCAGCGCATGCACCGAAACAGGGCCCTCCCGCAGAAAGGCCCCAGGTGACCCATCGCTCACTGGAGCAATTACCAGAGCCTTGGCAGCTGGCAAGATCAGCAAATAGGGTTTATGTCACAGCTTGTTACCTTAATTTGGTTAATTGTAGAGCAGAGTGCAGCTGAGCAGGCAGCTCCAGCCAGGCCCCGGCTCACCAGGGTGCCGGGTTGGGAGAGGACCGGTCCCCAGAGTGGCTGCCCCTGCCTGCAGCAGCCCTGGGGATGGAGAGGATCCCAGGGCTGGATGTGCTGAGGTGGCAGCAGGGACTGCAACTCAGCAGGACCACCCCGAGTCTGCAGCCCTTCCTGTGATCCAGAGCCTGTCCAGAGGCTGGAGCTGTAAACCCATGCTGGGAAGAAGCAGAGCATCTGGATTTCATACCTCCCCATTGGGGAGAGCAAGCCCTAGTAAGTAAGTAAAGTAACACACACAAGAGGAAGGACGTGTCGTTCAGCATTCCCAATCTCCAGTGTTGGCCCTTAATTGGCCCCTGCAGGATGCAGGGACAAGGCCAGCCTGCTGAGGTGCCTGCAGGAGCCCTTTCTCAGCCCCCTGCACCTCAGGGTCTTCTGCAGCAGAGGCAGGATCTGCTCTTTGAGGGTCTCTGTAGTGACTGCTTGAACCTCTCTTAACTCGGTGTGGAGCTCTTGGTAAGATCAGGACAACAGTCCGAGCCCTGCACTGTGTTTTACCCATTCCGGATGCCCACACCTGGCATCCCCTCCATGGCTGAGCTTGGCTTTAGTGCCCCAAGATGTATAGTATGGTGCTGGTGGCATCTGTACAGGCATTACAGTTACTCCCTTTGGTGATCCCATGGTGGGCAGGATGGGACAGAGCCTTGTGTTGTGATGGTGGGAGAGCATGGAGACACCAGCGCTCCCGCTCCTTCTGTATGTGTTTCCTGTAGCTCATGATGGTTACTAGTAACAGCAGCTGTCTCTTTCTTTCCTCCTAAGCCTTGGAAGGAATTGTGCTGGTAATTATTTGGGAAGGTAGAAAATAAACTCATGAAAGCTTAGGCTGGGGCTCAGCAGAACATGACATCAGGCACCCCCTCCTTCGGCTCAGCCACACTGTTCAGAGCTAAGTCAGGGCACTAATGCCCAACTAAGATTGGGTGACTGAACTGAATAGCCAGGAATTACAGATAAACTCACAGTGTCATATGCCTTTCCTTGCCTTTCCTACCTTACTTCATTAAAGCTGCTCTCTTGTAGCCCTCCAGCCAGTTTGCACAGCAACCCAAGGCCAGTTTGTGGCCTCACCTTCACACTCTGCACTTCTTTCACCCCTCACATCCCAGGCCAGGATGCTCCTGTTCCTTCCCCAGCAWGCCCTCTAACCCCATCTTTATCCCACCGATGGAAGCAGGAATGGAGCAAAAAGCTCCATGCATCTAGATTTGTTATCAGGCCTCTGCAAATGCGCTGCTAGGTTGGTGTGACGGGATGAGATTTCCCAGGACAAGATGGGAGGAGAGGCGGTTCCCAGGAAAAGCGTCCCGTCTTGTTCCTATTCCTTTCCTTTCCGCAGATGCCATCCCGGGTGGGTGGCTCGGGGCGATGAGGGGTTAAGCTGCAGGCGCTGCTGACTGCCATGTGATAAGGCTGCCTGCGCGATTAGTGAAGATCGGGGCCCTAAGAGGAATCACATGGGCAGCCACCGGGCTCCTGGGATGCCGGCACCGCCAACGTGCGGCCCCAATCCTGCCTCGCTCCGCTTCCTTCCTGCCCGAGGGGAGCCCTGCGCGCCGAGGGCCTGTGGCTTCCCCAGCCCCACGCTCCACATCAAAAGGCAGGGAACAAAACAGCAGCGGGGCGTTTTGAAGCAAAATAAATAAACCATTGGCTGCTCTGGGAGAGGTCTTAGCAAATGTTCAATTGAACCCTCTATTTATGGCTTTCTGTTTCAAAAGCAGATAAATAACAGGAACTTTTGATATTCAAGCCCCAAAGAAGCTAACTTCCCACAATCAAAGAGACTGCCGTAAAGCCTCTGCTTTATCAGGTTGCTGGTGGGACTGGAGGAAATCCTGGGTTTTTATCAAATAAAAGCAGCTTTCAGTTGAGAGGACAATGTGACAATATCTGTTTGCGTAGCATCTCCAGCCAGAAGGACCCCAGAGGGTTTTCTTCCCAGGGAGGTGTCTGGGAGATAACCTCAGCGACAGCACATTGCACAGCGTGAGAAAGCTCCAACACTCTCCAAGGGCCAGTTGCTTGAGACAGGTTTGTTTGAGCCTGGTTATTTGACGCGCTGCTCCGGAGGGATTAAGCACTGGAGCAGGCAGCTCCATAGCAATAGGTGCATGTGCTGACACGCAACCAGCAATGCATCAGCACAGTAATTAAGTAACCTCGAGGCAGAAGCTGCTCTGAGGACTCTCTTTCCTTTTGTAACCCTGCAAAGCCCCTCAAGTTCATGGTTTGGCCGTTTCTAGAATTGTTCTTTTCTTGTTCCTGTTCCCTGCAGGCGACGTGACAAACCTGGCCCCTGAGCATTCCTTTAAAGGCACCAAAGTCGATGTGGGGAGCATTGTGTTAGCCTTGTACAGTGGTCTCTTTGCCTAYGGAGGATGGTAAGATGCAGTCCTGTCTCCTTCTTCGGTGCCAAGTACTGCAGTTCTCTTCTGTCTAGACTGTGTGTTTGCAGGAGGAGCCTGGGCCAGGACTGGCTCTTTCTCATTAGGAGGGTGATGCTGCAGGTGCTTTGGGGTTGCCTGGTAAAGTTCATAGTCATGCCTCATGCCCTATTTCCAGCCAGGACGTGGAAGCAGAAGGAACTGCTGGCAATCATAGGATTTAGGAAGCCCAGAGAGCAGGTGATGGGGCTTCTTGGTGCACCTCCAAGATAGTATTCAGTGAAAGCACCAGGGCAGATTCATTGGGCATGGCAGAGTAGAGGGGCTGCTGTGGCCAGCTGCTCCATGCAGAGGAAGGTCCTTCACAAGCTCCAGACCATCTTTTTGGGCAGGATCCCAGTCTGTTTCTACACTGGTTCATCCAGACACAGTTGTGTCAACTGTCACTTGTGTTTGAAGTTCAAAGCAGTTTGCTGATGGAGACTTTCAGGCTTTGAACCAGAATTAATTACTGTCTCTTTAAAATTACAGGAATTACTTGAATTTTGTCACAGAAGAGATGATAAATCCCTACAGGTATGTGTGTGTCCTGTGATGACCTCCCAAGAAGGAGAGGGGGTGGTTCTGGAAACATCCCTTCCTTGGGGCTGCCTTGGGTGTTAATGGATGTTTTCAGTGAGCTCAGAAGCCAAGGTCCCCTAGCAAAAGGGAAGAAGGGGCTATCTCGTTATCACTACCAAAAACTTGACAGAAAATGGCACTGTTCTTAGAATAGGGGGTGGGGATGGTCATAACATCTGTAAGAAAAGGACAGCCATTTACACGGCTTTTCTGCACTGTTAATGTTATTAATGAAACTGGCAGGTCTAATTTCCTTGGCCCGGCACCTAAGTAACAGACAAGGAAGAGGCACTTACGGATTTGTTAGAAACCTGTGTAAACTCACAGAAATATTTGAGCATATCCTGTTTGCTGTGGGTTCTTTCTGTTCCATCAAGCAATAAGCCCCTTTCTACACTGCCCGTACATCTTGAGGACCTGCTGGATGGCCACCCCAAAGCAGGACGTCGCTGACAGCTTGTTTTTGCTCGTAGGGGAGGTGTGACCTTCTCTCAATATGTCCTCCAGGGTCGGTTGTGCAAGAGCCTGTTCCTGGCTGGCCCCAGCAGTGATTAGTGCCTGCTGGGAAACATGAGACTCGATCCGCCCTTTCCTTGATGAACAGAGTTATGAAAGTTTTGCAGTTTGCAATTACTTTCTTGCCTTCTGACTGCAGACATGGTATTCGACACTCACCTCCTGTGGCTTTGAGCTCCGCAGACCAATTATGTGGCATCAAGCAGGGCCGCCTCTTTTAATTACTGCTCATGAATTCAGTTAGACTATTGGGAAAGGCAAATTGGTATCCACAGAACTTCATCTTTGCAGCCCACTTAAGCTGTGTCTGGGTTGGCTTTCCCCAGGCTTCATCMGGGCAGCCAGCTGCACAGAGTTAGAGCTTAAAAAGGGCCCACTAAATCCCTGACCTTGGCAGCTCCCACAGGACGGCCACCCGCACAAGCGCTTCTGCTCTGTCCAGAGGAACATGCATGTGCTGGTGCCACCAGCAAGCGAGAGGCTGCTTTTAATGGCTTTTGCAGTGAACTTGTTTTACTGCTTGCCCAGACAGCCCGAGTCCCTCTGCACAAGAAGTGCCATCTGTGAGAGCCCTTCGTGTGGCAGCTGCTGCCCCAGGGCTGTTCTTTGTGAGCTTTTCCTCTCTTCAGAGCAGCGGCGTGTGCCTGGGAAGCAGCCTTTGCTGAGGAGCAGAGTGGCTCATGCCAAATTTCAGTGGATCCAGAAGGGCTACAGCAGCAGCCACCTCCTTCCCTAGCATTCCCTGGCATTGACAACTCTCTTCTCTGAGCTCYGGCGCTCACGACAATTTATATTTTCTTCCTAGAAACCTGCCTCTGGCTATCATCATCTCACTACCTGTAGTCACTTTGGTTTATGTATTGACAAACTTGGCTTACTTCACAACCCTGTCCACGGAGCAGATGCTGACGTCCGAAGCCGTGGCTGTGGTAAGATAGGTGCCTTTCTGACGTGACTCATCTGTTTTCCAGGGCTGGTTAAATTAGACTTACAATCTCTACATACATCTCCTAGTTTGTTCCAGGCTGAGCGTGGCTGCTTWTAAAACAGCCCGTGTTTGACGGGAGATAAAGAGCAACTGTGACGAGAGCAGGGGAGGACGGCGTGATACCACATGGGCCTTATCACGGAGAAGAGCAAGGGAGGGCGGCTGCTCTTAATTCATAAATACCCATAGGTGCTGCTGGCCGCATGACTTATCAGCAGTTACCCAAGTGGGGTGTTTACAGGAGAAGGTCATTCAGTCAATACTGAACTAGGCTGTTGTCCCTCTGAGTCTTCCTTGTTCTAATTAAGAGAGAAAAATAATATTCCTATTGATGAAAATGCCATTGCAGTCAGAAGTCCTGGTTGCTTGGGAAGTGAGCAGTGTCTCATGGTCTTGCAAACCAAGCGTGACCAGGATTGTTGAGTGCTTGAGGGGGCTCTCCCCGCTCTGCACTGTAGATTGGTCTGGGCCATTTGGGTGACATTATGAATCCAAAGCAGAAAGTGCTGAACCCTTGTCGGCAAGGTGAATTTTTTGTCTGTTGAAATTGGCATGATTATTTCAACATAAAGCAGATCAGAGTCAATTTGCAGAGTAAAGCYGCAACACCGGGTCACGGCATCTGTAAAGTGCTGGGATGCAGCCTGTGAAATGTGCTCCCTGTGGCAATCGGCAATAGCCCGAAGTCTCGGTCCTCRTGCGGTTTCATTCACTTCTGGAATAGCTGGTCTAGCACGTGTTGTGTCCTGGCTCTGAGGGAAAGGCCTCGTGCTGATTTTGTGCAATTCCACAAAGCACTGGTCCATGAAGGTGAAGCAGCAAGTGGCAATTTGGAAAACATTCCAAAAGCTCGAGGTACTAAACCATGCTTCAAATGTGAAATCTTTGTGAGCAGCTGTGAGCTCTCCTGGGTGCTTTTAGGTGTGAAATATCTTTCTTTTTGCCCTTCTTTTAGGACTTTGGGAACTACCACCTCGGTGTCATGTCCTGGATCATACCTGTCTTTGTTGGCTTGTCCTGCTTTGGCTCCGTTAATGGATCCCTCTTCACCTCTTCCCGGTAGGTTTCTTGGCTGTGTTTCGTGGGGCTTGTTTACAAGCAGTGCTTAATGCCTCTTTGCCTAGAAGTGCCCTCCAAAGGCTGTCTGGGAGTAGGCACAGAGTCTTAAAGGTCTGGGGACCATGTGGGGAACGAGAATATTTTTTTAAGCCTTTAAAATGATATCCATTTTAAAGGAATCTCTTGCAGTGGTCTTAGTCTCCTGCTCCTCAGGCAAAGTCCTGTTGAAGTTATTAGGACATAACCAAACACAGGCTTGGAGCTCAGTGGCGTTGCCTGAGAAAGTGGACCTAATGAAAACCAGCAGCTTCTGAAACTGCAGGGCTGAGAATCCCTCAGAGAGGGGAGCAGGGGTAGGTCAGGAGCGGCGTGCAGGAGGTTTCAGCTCTGACACCCATTTCCCAGGTTATCTTAGTGTCCTCTCCGGAGAGGATATAAACATTTCCGCATTCCTGCCTGGCTCCTGACTCCCCTCTAAGACACAGACATTTCGCTGTGTGTTGTCTGAGGACCCCAGGCTGGGGTCTGAACGTGGTGGTCCCACACTCAAAACAGTGACTAGCAGTTGGCGTCGTGTGACCACACTACTAAATGTGCCATCCCAGCAGTGTCCAGGATCATAGGGGCTGTCCTCACTTGTTATTTATTGAAGACAAACCTGACCTTGGGTTAGGGGTTTGGTGCAGGAGGTAACTGCTCTATCCCCCTCATCTCAGGCTCTTCTTTGTTGGATCCCGGGAAGGACACCTACCTTCCATCCTCTCCATGATTCACCCGAGGCTTCTCACTCCAGTGCCATCCCTCATCTTCACGGTAAGCMCCCGGGTCCGTGATGCTGAGCACTGAGCTGCTGGGGAGGACAGGGTGGGGATGAGAGACCCCAGAGCAGATGCAGAAGGAGCCTGCACAGTGCCTCCAAACACAGTCATTTCCACCTGCAGCCGTGGGGAAGGTTAGACACTTTTCATCATATCCTTATATTCCACATTCCATTTGGAAATTACTCCAGGCCCCACTTGAAAATAAGTTAAATAGGTAAAACGTAATCAACTTKGTTCCATTCTTGGCAGATAGTTCCTCTCAAATACCTATATTTGGTGTAGTAATATATATGGTTTTGCCTACCGGTAATGGTTTCTCTTTCTGGCTGCAGTGTGTCATGACCTTGCTCTATGCCTTCTCCAACAACATCTTCTCAGTCATCAATTTCTTCAGCTTCTTCAACTGGCTGTGTGTGGCTCTGGCCATCATTGGCATGATGTGGCTGCGTTACAAGAAGCCAGAGCTGGAAAGGCCCATCAAGGTGAGAAGAGTGTGTGGTTATTGCATGGGGAGTCCAGCCTGTGCAAGCCCTYTTCATTGGTGATCAGAGGGATGGCTCTGAAAACAGTAGTTTTGAGCTGTTTTGAGAGACCAGAGGCTTCAGACTGAGGGGACAAGACATTTATCCCTCTCTGGGGATGCATCTTCTCGGCATCATGGGAGGAGCAGGGAGTGTGGCTGCTTTTACTGCATGAAAGAGGGGCTCGGATTGCAGGAGCGGAGCAGGCAGAGGAAAGGCAGACGTGTGAAGCACCAGCTCCCAATGCACCTGGTAGGCAGGTGTCCCTGCTGCGCAGGCATCTGCTGACTGCAGATGGTCACTGTCACCAACAGGGATGTGCTGTGGCCACAGGACACTCCAATGAAGGAAGCTCTGGGTGTCAGTGATGAGAGGTCCTGGTAGGGTCCCCTTGTTTAGAGCAGGCAGGAATACCATCCACGTAGGATCCCTTGTAGATCCTCAGCTGCTCCCCTCCTGGGCTGTGGGGAGTCACCTTGGCCCTCTTTTGCTCATCCCTGATATAACTGCTCTTTGGGTCCTCTTTCAGGTCAACATCTGCTTGCCCATTTTCTTCATCCTGGCCTGCTTGTTCCTCATTGCTGTTTCCTTCTGGATGACACCAAAGGAATGTGCAATCGGCTTTGCAATCATCTTCAGTGGGATCCCCATTTACTTCTTTGGAGTCTGGTGGCAAAACAAGCCCAAGTGGATTCTCCAAGGCATCTGTAAGTACTGCTGGTGAAGGGCACAGCTGCAGCYTTGGCTTTTCCTCCAGGAATAGTCGTGTTTCCTGAGCTGGCTGCAGCTAACAGCTCCGGCCCTCACTGCTGTAGTGGAGGCTTCTAACATCTTGGCTCTGCTCACTTTTCTTTTTAATAGTAACAATTTTTAACCTGATGATTRTTGTATCTGCCCAGCACCCAGAATGCTCCCTGACTTCCGATGATTAACAAAGCTTGGGCTAACTACCACGGGCTTTTTTTTTTTTCTTCTTATGACAAACAGGATATTGTGCAGTGGAGCTTAATTCCCTGAGCACATTGCTGCCTTTCTTCTCCCTCCTGTGAAAGCATAGGGTTGAGGCTTTGCTAGCAGGGAATTCCTTTCCAGTGGGTAGGAAGGGAAATGGAGTGAGAGCGTAAGAGGCTGAGCACAGTTTGCCTCAATTTGACTGCTGTAAATTCAGAATTAGTCCCAGTCCATCGCTTCGCCAGTGGTAACATTTCTGACCCAGCCAAAGTTCTCAGCATCCAGATGTGACAGTGCAGCAGAGAGAAGAGTTTTTCCTTAGGAAGCTTATTTTAAGGTATCTTGTATAAGGTTTTCCCATAGCTGCCATGAGACCATGGTGAGCTTGGAAGGGCTCTTCTTAGTGGCGTCTAATCTCTGTCTGAACAAGTGAATCAAGAAAGTCTCTGTTGTCTAAGTAACTAAATTCGACCATCTGTCTCCCAACTCTCATACAACAGGCTGACCTAGAAAACCAGACAAGTAGAAATGCCCAGCCTTAGCTGGGTGCTTTTTATGAGGAAGAAAAAGCCTTTTAACAGCACTCAGCACTTATTACTGTATTTTTTTTCTCTCTCTCTCCAACACTCTGTCACTATTATATTCTGTGTATTAGGCTCAGTTCCTGGAAATGCCATTTTTTTTGCAGTGCTGTGGTGGCAAATTAACATATTAATTGTGTTCTACCACCAAGGACTTTTAAGGGGAATATAGAAACAATTCTGGGAACATAGACCAAGAATGCTGCAAATGCATGTGATCTTTATGCCCATGCATATATTCATATGTTGCGGATAATTTGATCACATCCACTAATGCTTTGACTTTGCTTGTGTGTATTTAGAATCACACTAATAGTTTTATCTGGCAAGGTTGCCTTGTGATCTCCGAACACAGAGTAGCAGAAAGCACGAGTGTGTTTGGATACTGTCGGCCAGGACTAATGGGTGGAAAAATAAAGATATTCTAGTTGATTCGTGCCCTGCTGCACCTGAGATGCTCCCTTTGTGTCCTGTTTGCTCCTCGTGTGTCCTGTGTCATCCATCTGTCACCACAAGGCTCTGAGGAGGCCTTGTGCCTGTTGATGCTCCCTCTGACCGCTGCTTTGCTGCYTTCCTTGCAGTCTCCGCAACTGTCCTGTGCCAGAAGCTGATGGAAGTGGTGCCGCAGGAATCCTAGGTGGGAAAGCAGAGACATGCAGCTTGAGGAAACGCACAATATTATTTTAAGACGACACAAGGAGAAAACGCTTCTGATCCCTCACAAACGACCGCCCGGCGCCGGAGTCCCCTGTGAGAGCAGCTCCGGACGCCGCTCTGCCCGCCCTGCTTTGTCCCCACCAGCCTCCCCGTCGCCAGGTCTGGCACAGGAGCAGCCCTGCCTTGCAAAGCCCTCGGTACGGAGCGGGCCAGGACAAGGAATTCCCGCTGGCAGCTTCCGAGGGGCTGCGTGTGCCCAGCAGAGTGTCCCGCTGCCCGTGTGCATGATGCCAAGGGTCTCCTGAGGTCCCCCCGAGGCCTCCCCGGTGTGTTTTGCCAAGCTGAAGTTAACAGCGTTAGCAACATTGGTTTTGGTGTCAGCACACGCGGCTTTGGTGTCAGCAGCTGCGGGGAGGGCTGGCGCTGCCCTCCCTGCCCCGGGGGCAGCAGGGTCCTACACAGGCCCCTCTGCCTCGCTGGGCCCAGGGAGGTGTTTGGGAAGCAGAGGCTGGGGAAGGGCTTGGGCTGGCACAGGAGCGCGGGCGCCCAGGAACGCCACGGGATGCTCCGCAGGCTGCCCTGGCCGTGCCTGGTGTGAGGCAGGGCAGAGCAGAACTGGTGCTGCAGGAAGCAGGGGGCACCTCTGGCTTCCATTCTGTCCCCAAAAAGAGCACTCGGGATCCCCCTCCACTGCCTGGCATTTAGCCCTTGGGTCCAAGCACCTCCCTGTCACTGAGCTGCCATCCGGGCCGCTTCTCCTGGGTCCCTCTTGGCAGCGCTGGCAGGGAGCCCCCGGAGCAGGCACAGGAACTCCCCAATAAACCCCGGGAATCGCAAGCAGCAGCAGGCCAGGAGCTGGGCCGGGGCTGTCACGGGCGGTCGCAGTCCTCTCCCACCCCAATTCCTGCGCTCTTCAGGGAAGCAKCTTCACCCCTCTTGTTCCCAGGGGCCATCCTCTTAGGAAAATGTTGCTTTATTTGGTCAAAAGTCTCGCCTTTTTTAGGCAAAAGTGCAGTTCCTTAACACTTGTTCATCACGGCTCTGCCCGCGAGCCATGTCGTTAGTTGGAAATCAAATTGGAATTATGGTCTTTAATTGGAAATCAAAAGCATCTTTTCCCTGCAAGGGAGGTGCACTACTCCGTTACAGATCTGTGTGCTTGTGCTTTAGAAAATGGGTTGCTGAACTTTTTCTCTTTTTTCTTAAGTATTTTTGTAAACTGCGTGGTTTGGGAGCCAGGATCCTCCAAGCACTAATGGATCCTGGATTCTCCTCTTGGCATARAGCCCTTTAGGAAGAAGAGGCATTAAGAACGATACTGGCTAGTACTCTGTCCTTTCAGGAGRCGTTTTAGCAAAGTGCATTTGAGTTAATAGTAGGCGGCAGCTTCTCTTCAAACGCGTGTGACAACGACCACGGTGGCATCAAGAACTTACAATGAGCAGCTATTTGTTGATGYTCCAGCAGCCACACGTCTTTGCTTTGAGGCAGTGCAGGGGCAGAGGTGACAGCCTCACGTCACGCTGAGGCCTTTGCTGTCACTCGCACGGGGCTCTGCGTGAGCTGCAGGGAACTGCAGCGGTGCAGGGTATCCCTGCAGCGCACGAGCACCCAAAGCTATGGCCAGTGTGTGGCTCTTCGGGGACCTACGTGCAATGAAGTGGAGCATCTCAGACCCAGTGCCCGTGGAGAGGCGTTAGATCGTGAGCCGTAAAACCTGAACTAGATTTTCCCTTCTTGGGGGAATCCTCTTCTAGCTGACAGCCGAGCTGTTTCAGCAGGGCAGCTGGGAGGCTGCTGCCTAGGCTGGCCTCGGTTCTTGGACAGACAACCTCTGTCTGTCGCCATCCACTCCACTGTAGTTCCCTGGTTGYGATATCCTCAGGGCTGCTTGGTCTGCAGGAGTGAACTTGGAGGCTCCCAGGGCTTGTATGTGCCAGCAGAATTAGTTGTGGAGCAAAGGAAAGGGATTTGCTCTTTCGGCCACCTCAGTCTGACGCAAATCAGCGCTCAAGTCCAGCCTAGAGAGAGCTCAGAGGTGGGTTCAAGTCTCCCTAAAGGCCAGGGGACACTTGGTTTGGACACATCTTTGAGTTTTCATCATTGATGAAGAACATCACCAAATGATGAAAAAGGTTCTTGAGGAACCTTTCACGGGGCTTTCAAAGAGGATATATCACACTGAGAATTATTTTTTTATATATTGATCTTAATTAAATCCTTAACCTGCTTGCTTGCTTATTAAGAACTTTCCTTTGTTATTTTCCACTTGCTGCTAAAGATGTTTTTTGTATTAACCTGCTGGCTCTGGCATCTACGTCAGGGTTTCATGGTGATAGCGCCATCATTTCCGTGACAACAGCCTTATAGGAAAAAACGGAACCAATTATCAGCCAGAACCACGTAAATGTTGAATTTGAAGCCATGGCTCAAATCTCAGTTCACCTTAGGACAAAGTTCACCTTTCAAAAACCTGATTTCTGTTATCCTCCATACATGGACCTCACARTTCTCTCCCTCTTTTCTTTTTCCTGGATTTTAGTGAGATTGTGAGGAAAGGGGTAAAACTGGTGGAATTTTATTTTGAAAACACAACTAGAGCAGTTTCTGCAATGGATGAAATGGCTGCTAATGATGCTGCTAACAGCATTTGAGTGAGGGCCCCTGCAGACACTCCAACAGGAGTGGGAAGCTCAGTTTTGGAATGGAAAAAAGAGAGAACTCCTCCCAATTCAACACCTCTTTGCTGCTTTTTCTCCCCAAAGTGGCACGAGCTGGGTCAGCGGGGAGAGGCAGCAGCAGAGCCTGCATGGGGAGCTCCTGCGGTGCCCAAAGGGGCTGTGGGGTTTTGGATGTTGCTCTGGAGCCCTCCCTGCCCTCATCCCCGCAGAGCCCAGCGGGAGCTGAGCCCCTATGACAGGGATGGGCCCCGCTCGTGTGACGGGGCAGCCGTGGTGCATGGAGCACAGGGAGGTTCCTCTGCCTCAGTGCGAAGCCTTCCCTGAGCTAGAGCCGAATCACAGGATCCTTGTGGCTGGAAAAGCCCTGCAGGATGGTCAAGCCCAGCCACAAACCAGCCCTGCTCATCCTGCAGAATTCCGGGCGGATGTGGGCCAGGCCTAGAGGGCAGGTAAAACAGGGAGAATGTCTTGTCTTTAGAGGCCTCCTTTTTTTGTGGGTTTTGTGTTTCTGACGCTCTGCAGTATTTGCTGTGTTGTCAGTCTCGGATACTGTGTCCTGGTAAACACGCTTGTTTTCTATGGCACCCTCCATGGATATTAAGTTCAAAGGGGCTCTGCGCTGCTGAACAAACTTCCCGGGTCCTCCCACTGGGTTRAAATCCTCAAGATTCGGCTTYGTTGTTGCTGCCGCTGCAGGCGGCCGAGCGGGAGCCTCAACCTGGCTCCTGGGGTGGTCCCRGCCCGGGATGTGGGGACAYGGGGACACGAGGCGGCCCTGGATGGGCCAAGCTCTTCCTGACAGATCCCAGATCCCAGCCCACGTGATGGAGAGACCCTGGGGGCTCTCCGGGCTTGGGAGCTTCTCGAGGGACTACTCGTGTGAGGAAGGGAGTTGCTGCCTCCCGCTGTCAAAGTGTTAATGAGAAAAATATATATATTTTTAAAAATACTGAGTTAATTTTTAAATGGCTTACAAGAGACTCCATACGTGCAGCTGGGTTTTTCCTGCGGGGTGGCGTTCACCTGAGCACAGGGGCCTCTGTGGGGACACGGGTGGGCGCGGGGCTCCTGCACCCAGGTGGGCGTCACGGCGGGGAGCCCCCTGCTCCGAGGCCACGGTGAGGGCCACATCCCCCCTCAAACCCCGCATGGGTTTGGGGAGCCCTGCTCGGTGCTGGCCCCGCCMAACAAAAGCGGGGGGAATTCTCAGGCAGGGAAAAATCCAGCTTYTCAGAGATACCTTTCTTCTAAATTTACTACTTCTGTTGGTTTGGTTTTGTTTTAACGCCAGAGAAAAAGATCCTAACGCGCGGAACAAGGCCTAGATCTGATTTACAATTCTGTTATATTTGGTTGCTTTAAAAGTATTTTACTAATTTAAATGTTGCTGTAGATGACACTGTATTTATTTTAAGGGGTAAATATCTTTTAGTCTTAATACTTCTGCAGGACGCGCTGTCTGTTTGCGATGTTGGTGTTCCTGTCCACACAGCTGTTCCACAGCGGCCCTAGTGCCGGGCAGCCCGTAGTAACTTAATCAAATTGCCTTGTAAAACAAGATGTCTACTGCAATGTATTTCTTTTTTTTTTAGTATTTCTTGATACTTTTATGTCTGTGGTTAACAAATCTGTTAAATGTTTGGGTTGTTTTATGTTTGGGGTTTTATTTGTTTCTGTTTTTTTAAACAAAGCTGAATGACACTTCTCTGGTTGCTGGTTTTTGCCTCAAAACCCTTCGGTTTGTGCAAAGCGGCCTCGTGTGACCCTGCCTGCGCCAGCTCCCGTGTCAGCGCCGCGTTACCTCTTTGGGTTTTGCTTGTGTCCATACTGAAAATCCAAGGGAATACGAAGCTGGGGGAGCAAATTCAACACGAAACCTCTGTAAGACAACTGAAAAATTGCACTCCTAAGTGACATGCTAAAGGCAGGAGGAGAAGGATGCTGAAAGCTGCAGGAAGCCAGGCAGGAAAAGGGGTCCTGGTCCTGCAGAGACCCTGAGTTAAAAGTTGAGTTACRTGCACCCCTGTTCACTAGAGAAGATCGAGAAGGTCCCATCCTGGAGCCCACACTGAGGAACAAGAGGTGACTGGGTGGAAAAGGCTGCTGGAGATGCAGCCTTTTGCAGGCTCATCAAGCTTCTAGCTGACAGCAACAAGAGCTTTCCTGACAGCGCGCTGAAACTGCATGTGCCAAGGTTAGTGGGGTGCGTTATTAAGCCAAGAAGCAAGAAGAAAACAGAAAAATGGCCGTGCCCAGTCCTGCTGGGCTGTGGTGGCCCCAGCTGGAGGGTAAATGCCGGCTGTGAGCAGGGAGATGCATGTTTTTGCTGCCCAAATGCCCAAATTGGACGTTTTTCCTCTCCCAAATCAGAAGCACCTGTGTGTTTGCAGGGAGGTCCCCCCCAAGGAAGGTCAGCCCTTGGAGCAGCAGCTAGAAACCCTTCTGCAAACTGCAAAGCAATAAAGCGGTTGAGTATTTGGAGATTTGGGAGACAGATGAAAGGCACTAAGTGTGTTTGAGTTGGTAATCAGCCACTAAGGGTGGGGTGCAACACCTCGAGACGTGTTTGAAGAGTGCAAATGTTAATGAAATAAAGGAGCTGACGAGGATTTGTGGAGAGCGGTAATAAAAGGATCCTCCAAGGCAAATAAATGAATGCCAAGATRATGAGATACAGGTATGAGGAAATTTAATGAAAGGAGATCGACGCTGACGAACCTCCGTGCAGCACAATGCACGCGACAGCAAAATTGTGCCCTTAAAACTAAAGCAAGAGAAGTTCTGCTGCTCGGGCCTTCCTAAAAGGAGGTGCTGCCATTTGGGTGGTTGCACAAGAGGGACTAGAAATACAGATCTTTCCATGGAAAGAACAAGCTGCTGGTGCAGCACAGACSAGTCTGGCCTGATTTTACCAGACACGTAGTTAAGGGGCCACAGGTAGTGACACAGGATCTACAGGAAAATGGGGTTTGCAGATCAAAGGTATCCAGCAGCCTCCAGTCCAGTGTTCACCAAACCTGGACATATAACACAGCTTTGAGSGTTTATTTAAGCAGAAACCTATAGGTTTTTTCTGCCAATTGCTGGTGCTCAGATTTTGGGCTTGCTTCTCTTGGGCATRTCAGAGTAATTTGCATAGTGCAGGATCCCTTCCTTGCCAAAACATGTGCTAGATCCCTGTGTTAAATACGGAAAAGACRGGCGGGTTGACAAGGAGAAAGCAGAACCGGGTGCACATTTGAATTATGACTCGGGATTAAAAAAAGGAAGTAAGACAATTCCTCTTGGTTTCAGCTGCTTTCCTAATTTAGCTGATTTGCCCCACAAAATTTAGCTGATTAGTCCTTCCAGGGCCACGTGAGGAGTGCTGCCAGCACCTTGCCCCACGGGCCAAGCTGGAGTCAGGCTTTGCTGGAGCAGGAAACCTGCCTGCTGCCTTAGCAGCTTGTAGAGATGCATCTTGGGGAGCTTTTCCCAGGATTTGGGATAAAAGGGAAAAGCCAAAGGTCTCGGTATGGGTTTTGCTTCCCTGTTTTGCAGCTGCATCCTGTGCACCCTCGCATGATTTGAAGGCTGCTTTGAGCAACTTCCCAACACAACGTGCTATCTGTAACAGCATCACGTTATGGATCGCTCTGCTGCCAGATCAGCCAAAGGCACYATCACAAAAATGAGTAATAACAAAACCCAACCACACAGAGCCCCGTGCTCCAAAGGAGCGGCAATACGCCTGTAAAAGCCCCCAAAAAAAGCTCCAGCACGAGGCCGTCCTCCTGTTGGAGTGAGTTTTATGGCAGCTTTGGCCAAGGGAAGGGAGCAGGAGCCGCTGGGCTGGATGCACTGGGAGCGCTGGAGCCAGGTCTGGGCATCTCGGCTGCACAGGGGCTCATGGAGGAGACTGCGGGTTGTATCTTGGTGCTGCAAAGGCATCAGATTGGTTAAAATAGCAAAAAAAAACATGTCTGGAGGGGCTGTAAGGGCAGACGGGGAGGCTCCCGCGCGGCCGCAGCGCTCGGGGTGGTGAAGTGCATGTACGCACACTGGAGCCTGCAAGGGCTTGAAATGAGGTTGCTGCTAGCCCTGGTTCTCATTAAACACAAGTCAGCAGCCCAAGTGTTTGTAGATAATAACTTTAAAAGCCAGTACGAGTAATCTTTCTGCATCAGGTCTTTGCAAAACCAAGCTGAATGTTTTGGGGTTACGGCGACGGCAGCTGGTGAAGCAGTTTTGCCATCACGGGGCCCCCCAAAACCCATGCAAGGGAGGGCGCGATTTGCAGCGTTCCTGCAGGGAGCAAAGGGGGCTCCGGTCTCTGCAGCTGCCCTATCTGCACCCACGGCAGCACCAACTACCGCCCGTGGTGGCTGCAGGTCACGCTGAGGCACAAACTGCTTCAGGCCTTTTAATTCCTTCTTCCTTTCTCCTCTTCTTCCTCATTTCATGTCTTGCATTATGATATGACTCAGCCCCCTTCCAGGACGGTTGGTTGGCTGTTGGGAAACAGGCAAAAATCAGCAAAAATCTCCTTTTCCTGCTGTTTTTTTTGTCCCACCGTGGTCAGCGCTGGCCCTCGAGGCTGCAGCATCACGTTGCATTGACTCGGCTTAGGTTCACCCACCACTAGCCCAGCGGTCTCGTCACCTCCGACACCATCTGACGGATCAAAAGCAACGGATCGGAGATATTTACAGCATCTTCCAAAYGTCCCAATGAACTCCAGGAGCTGGAAAGGCCTCTGCTGGGCTGAGCTCCCTGCTTTAAGCAGCAATTTCCTTATGTTACTGCGAGGCTGGTACATCTGCAGCCCTTGCTCCTGCTAAAAGGCAGCTAGCCTTTTGCCAACATTATGTTGCATTAGAAAAAAAAAATAAACCAAGGGGCATGAGACCGTCTTCCAAGAGGCGCTGTCTTCTCACACACAACATAAGGAGTGGAAGCTCTCACATGATGCAGTCGGTTGTGCAATTGCTGCAGCGATCAGCATTGGATACAGAAAGCACGAGCCCAGGGTGAGAACAGGAACCCGAAAAAGCAGCTGCATGGAAAASTCTGGGCTGATTAGCTGTTAATTGGACAGTCCTGGTCCAAGTGAAGAAAATAATCACCTGAAAATAAAAATGCCAGCTCCTAGGAGGAAGCTATTAAAAGCCAAGTGCCGATCAGACCCTCTGGGCACCAGAAAATTACTCCTGCTGGTCATGTTGCTTTAGAAGGAACATCTGTGGATGGAAAAATCCTTTTGTTTCTCTGTTTAGAATTTACTTATTTACGTTAGGTTTTTGCCATGCACGTCTCATGTTTCTTAGAAGAAGCCAGAGGTCTGGCACAACCCGACTTAAAAGCCTGCAAGCCTCAAGCTCCCCTGGCTTGCTTTAGTTTCCAGGTTTATTTAATTTTTCAAATTAAAACATGGAAAACTTAACCAAAAATCATCTGCTTTTCTTCTGGGGTCTCATGGAGTTTCTGAGCAGGTGCTATCACYACTGAGCAAAGGTTAAACAGATTTTGTCTGTCTTATTTGTTGAAGCAAAATTGAGAGACCCTCCTGCAACCAAGTCAAACAGGATAAAGCCAAAATCTTGCAAAATCGTCTGTCTTCTTGTTGTCAGGGTCAAATTCTGCCTGTTTTTCCTCCTGAGCAAAGCCCCTTTTACACCTGCCTCATCCTGGCCATCGACTTGCAGCTGCTTCAGTCRCTGATGCAACCCACGGGCTGTTGCATCAGGGGGAAAGAGCAGGGCCGTCCCGTGGCCTCCAGGGCTGCTGGAAACGTCTCCAGATGCACAACTCTGGTTCTCCTTCCCTCAAAACATATCTGGGCAAACCCTGCGCCGCTCCGGAGACTCTTTTTTGCAGGAAAGGAGCCTTTCCCAGAGCAGGGCACTGATGTGCAGCCCAGCCTGGTCTTTTTGCTGCAGATTCCCTGGAGCAACGCGATTTATGGTGAATATAAGTGACTAAAGCACCCGCGTGTCGTGGCCTGCTCCCTGCCCGTGCACGGGGAAGGGCCTCAGCCTGGGTGCTGGAGGATCCGCGCGGCCGGTGGGGCGGTGAAGGATGCTTTGATGTGCTTTTCCTTGCCCTCATTAAACAGATTCCAAGCGTGCTGTGGAGATGCACGCCCTGAGCTGCAGCCCGGCAGGCCTGGGGAAACTCGTCCCTCACCCAGCACTGAGAGCAAAGAGATAAAAGGGGGGTGAGTGAATCTCTAGGCTGGATAACTCACAGAAATGGAGCAGGGGGAGAGAGGAGGAGCTGCGGGCAATTGCACAAGGAGAAAAGGGGATCTAGGGGATCCCTCCTGCGCCGCCAGGTTCCAGCTCCCTAGCATTCCAAGTCCTCCAGCTTGGAAGATCCTGAGCATCCCGAATCCCCGGCTCCCACAGCTCGCGGGCACAGCCGGCGCTGCCGCTGGGGATGAAGGTGGTGCTTGGAGCCCAAAGCAGGGAGGCGGCCAAGTGCTTTCATTTGAGCGCAGGCAGATTTAGTCTGCAAGCAGAGCTGGGCAGGGAAGGGGYTCCCGTTGACTTTTGCCTTTGCTTCTATTCCCAAAAAAGTCCATGCGGG